CCCCAAAACCCCAAAACCCCAAAACCCCGCTACGTGGCATTTTAGTTGAAAAATCGTGGAAATATTATTAAAATTAAAGAGGACCAACAAGATTATAATGGATATGAATCAAGAGAAGCACTTACCATGTCTACTTCCCATTCCCACAAAACCACCAGCAGAACCCCATCTCAGCTTGAAGTACGCTTTCAGTTCCAAAGTCTTGACCTAACCTCATCTATTTATCTATTTAATCACCCAAAATCCACAAATTTCCTTCTTGACTTTTTCCTAAGTTTTAAAACTTAGCTTATATAAGGGATGTCTTCTGCCAAGCACAAGGTTTTTAGTTGAGTGCAGTGTAGGAAGAAGGAGGCCGATTTTTGTGACAAAGTGAAGACTGAAGGGGAAGATGAAAATATATGGGTACAACATGACTTAGACATTCTGGGAATTTTCTAAAATATTGCTAATCTACATACAAAGGATATATGCTTCATTGTTTTCTCTTATTTTACCTTTGTTACCTCAAAATCTCCAAAATCCTTCCTAAAATGCTCTTTCCCTTCCGTCCTTGTCCTACTCCACCCTCATTCTCTGCCCAATCTCCACTCCACCCAAACTTGCCTCTAAAAGCTTCTACTAATCCCTACCAAACTAAACACCCATGAACGATAATTACCTTGATTGGGTTATGCAAAGTTTTGAGAAGTTACCCAACAAGAGTTTGGGTGCTGAGTAGCCAAAGAAGGCTACTAGAGATTGAAGCATAGTTTAAATTATGAGAGTAAATTAGGCTTTAATGGGTTTTAAGGTTCTTAGAAGATGGCATTTTGGGTGATTTTGAAATGGTATAAGGCTTATAAGGATTTAGATGAATTTGTGTGCTATTTTGGTGTCTTTAGTGGAATTTTGCATTTAAATGGAAAGGGCATGTGTTACCCAATTTGGGACATATCGGCCCGGAATCTACTTAAATTTTCGAGAATGGTATTCTATAATAATTTATTAAAATGTTTGAATTTGAGAATGTCGAAGATCATTCTGCACTTCCGTATTCAGGTTGAATGAAGCCTTCTCACTCTAACTCTAGTATCCAAGCAAAGAGGGAGTATAAAGAAGAGCAGAAGTCAATCGAAGGTAAGCTCTAGTTATTCTCCTGGTTAATTTTGATAGATTCTTTGTCACTTCATACAATACAAAAGCTACAAGATACCCATAAAAATCCAAAAAGAAAGTTACCAAAAGATAGAAAAGAGAGGAACAAGGTATTCGCCAAAGAGAGCAGGAACAGGAAGAATAACTACATTAAAGAACTCGAACAGAAGATTGACTTCCTTGAAGATAAGGTCATGAAGCTTTCAATGGAGTTGGATCAGTACAAGCATCTCCTTAAGGTTTCTGATATCACAAAAGACAAAGATTCTCAACTTGAAACAGTCTTAATGGATTTTAAGAAAACAGAGGCTTATTTCAAGGAAAAACTTAATGAGTGTAGCAATCCAGACAACATGTGCATTGAAGCATGGAATAGAATTATGGAAAGCGTCGGTACAAACATTGGTCCTATCGGTACTGTGAGAAGAAAGGTAAGTTTCATGCCTCTTTAGCATCCATCAGTTTCGTATTAACTTCTTCCTTTAGTTGATAACTACAGCTTTTAAGCTAATAATAAAATGAGCTATGCCAGAGCAAATGAGTTACCTATGTTTTCTTACCCAATTTGAAGAGAAGGCATCTAAAAGAGAGCTTACCTACATGAAAAAGTTATCAAGACAGGAAATTTTGCATTATTCAAGAGATAAAGGATTTTCTCCATTAGATACTATGTATGCATTGCTCAGATTAGACAAAAATGAACTTGATTACATGAGAAGAACCAACCCGATCTGGCAAGGATTGTTGATCAAGACCAAAGAGGTTATCAGAAATTTACTCAGATGTAGAAATGAACTATTTGAGATAGCTTTGAAATTAGATGACCAAGCGATGGATATCTACAAAATTCAGAGACCTGAAACGATTGCCTCTTTTTATACCAACTTCTATAGAGAGCTGTCAGCTTCTCAAGTGTCTATATTTGATATTTACAATCTTAAAAGAAAGAAATATATTTATGACAAGGATGTGGACAACGAAATATACGCTCTGACTGATTCAGATGAGGAATAATTAATAAAGAGCAAGGAGTAATACCCTCTTAAAAATTATTTAGACAATTTCAATTAAAATTAAGGAGTTTGGGGTTTTGGGGTTTTGGGGTTTTGGGGTTTTGGGG